TGAATTATTGATGGAGTTTCTGGTTTTGCTAAGTGCATCAGGACAGGCAACTGGAACCAGGAGAATTTGTTGCTTCCTCTCTCTTGAGGACGGGGTGTGGGGGGGGGTCTGGTGCTGAGACCTGTCGATGTTCGCTTTCGAAGGGCGGGCAGCCAGCTGGCTCTCCTAGGAGTCCCTCAAATTGATAGGGCAGGGTGAATTGTTTGAGCGATGTTGCCATTTTTCTTGTCTAGTTGGTGCTGGGGACTGTGGAGCAGGAGCAAGTTCCTTGGGCAGTGCATCCCTTCTTGTCAGCCTGGTGAGTGGGTCTGGCCTGGGAGCCCGGAGCTCCTGGTGTCCCTGCAGGGGCTCAGCCTGGGTAAGGGGCTGGGTCCCTCCTGGCTCTGATCATGGTTGGAGGTGACGAGCCAGAGGAGAAGGGCTAACTTGCTCATGCCTCACAGCAACAGGGGGGCTGGGAGGGGTGTCCGGCCATGGTGACAAACCTTGCTGTGTGCTTAACAGGTGCCTGGGGGGACACAAGCAAGCAGTAATGCTGTGGGGAGGGTCAGGACTTGGCAGTCAGAGCCTATGTGACTCGGTCCCCCCCTCCCAGGTGGCAGAGGGCTGTTGGGAGTGAGCACCTGGTGTGTCTCCTAACAGGGAGCTGGGGCAGGGCTGATGTGGCTTTGTAGGTGCTTGGGTTGAATTTTGCCCAAAATCTTCCATGCTGAGGGAGTGGCCTTAGCTCTAGGGATCCCAGGACCACGGGGTGATAGCTCTCTGGGGACTCAGGGTGCAGAGCAGGGCTGCAGCAGGTCCTTGGAAAGACCCAACCAGAGGGCTGTGTGCTGGAGATCCCCTGCGCTGCAGTGGGCACTGCCTATCAAGCCTTCTGCCTGTGTCTTACCTGCCAGATCTTGTCCCTTCTCCCTGGCCTGTGGTATACAATTCCCCATCTGGCAGCTTGGTTCGGGCCCCAGGATTAATCTTTCCATGGCTGACAGGGAAGCACTCCTGGTGGGGAGCCTTCAAGGCTTGAACTCCATCCTCCGGCAGAGGAGGGTGCAGGTGAACTCTAGGTGGGTATGGCTGTGGTTTGGCCCTGGAAATTATTTTTCCAGGCAAAGGATTTGTTCTGGGGGAAGGCAATCCCCCCGAGAAGCAGGGGTGAGGGGGTTTGGAAAAATGTGCCGTGTCAAAGCTGCCCCCAGTGGAAGAGCTCTGGAGGGCTTGGTCAGGGTTTAGGATGTCTTTCTGGCTACTACCAATCCTTTCGTCCAACCAGGAAGATTACGACGGGTACCTGTGGAGAGAAGTTCTGTGCATGCAAATCGGCTCATGGCTGCCTCCCTGCCAGCAAGGGGGCTCTTCTCAGAAGGCACCGTGCGTTGGATATCTTTCTGGTGGACCTGCTGTGGCTTCAGGACCTCTGGGCACAGCACAGGGTTGTGCTGGTGCCAGGAAGTTGAGAGATGAGATAAGGCCAGAGCGATTTGGATGTAAAGCTTTCTGAGTAGCTGTGTTGGTCCCTGGGGTCCCCTCTTGCTGCTAGCCATGGGGGAAGTGCTCTGGTGCTGCTTCTGCCCTGGGGTGTGTTTTGTCTTTAGGCTTTTTGTTTTGCCCTGAACTGAGCCAGCTGAAATATTTTGGGCTTGCTGGGGTTTTTAAGTAACGGGTGTGTCAGCAAGTGCCTCTCTCATGATGAAAAGGCTTTCATGCAGCCGTCCTCAAAGATGGTCAGGGTCTGGCTTTGGAAAAATGCTCTGTAGTTGTATCTTCAGAGGCTGGGGAGGAGGAGGGAGGATTGGGAGCAAAGCGATCCCTGGAATTTCACCCTTGTGGGATCTGGCGTACTTGGCTTCTAGCTGTCACAAGAAGCTTGCTGGCTGGCATGATCAGGCTGAGTAGCTGAGGCTCTCCTCTTCCCTCCCTTCCCTGTCTTGCTTTGAAGATGACCAGTGCCCCGAGCTGGCATTGGGAGGCGGCAAGGGACTGTGCTGTGCCCAGGAAGCCCCTGTTGCTGGTGTGCGAGCTGCTGTGGGAGGGATTTGGGGTGGATTCTCCACAGCTGGGAGGGCACAAGGCTGAGTGGCTGTTTGGGGTTTGTGTGTTAGCCAGCTGTAAGGGAACGGCTGCGGTCCAACCTGGGATGGTGCTGGTGTGTGTCTGCAGGGAGAGCTGGGGACAGTGCTTGCAAACCTCTCTGGACCTGGCACTGCCTCTCGATAGTTATGTCTTTAATTCCAGATCGGTGAAGATTAGATGGCTGGAACAAGACCAGAGGGAAGTGGTGTGTACTGATGGCGGAGGCCCCAGGAGGAGAGCTGGGAGAGCCTCCTTGGGCAGCGGGTACCCTGTTCTGCTGGCACCTCTTGACCATGATGGAGCCGTGCCCACTGTTCAGGGCAGGAGTGACAACCATGCATGCAGGGCAGGCTCCAGACACTCAAAGCATCACTACCCCACTGCTTAACATGGCCTCATCCTGTGGAGAAACCCTCAGGTGGCCACTCTTGGGCATCAACTGGTCAGTGTCGGTAGGTCTGCAGAGCCATGGGCTCCATCCAGCCTGGGACCACAGCCCAGACCCTCCTCTGGCTGCTTTGATGTGACAGGCTCCCTAAAAGCCCCTCGGCTGCCTCCTCTCCCTGAGGCTTTCTGCTCTGACCTGGTGGCCCAAAGGGGAAGGGGGGGGCCCTGTGCGTGGACCGCACCTCCTCCTGCCTGGGCTGGAGGGGCATTTGTGAGTGCAAGGGGACAAGGAGAGCTGGCAGGCGAGGGACCTGTCCTGTTCCTTACCCCTGCTGTTGTTTACTCCCTGTGGAAGGGACGGGAAGGAAGCAGCCTCACAGCTGCTCTGGCCCCTTATCTGGGGCCCTTAACGGCCCTGCAAATTTCATTGTTAGCTTCCACATTCTCCAGGCTGTGTTCCCAGGGGACATACAGAGGTGGGGACCCGGGGCTGGGGAGGTGTTGCTGGCTGCGCGGGGCCTGCCTGGCAGCCACGCAGGGCTGGAGAAATCTGCTGGGGTTGCTGTCTCTCCTCTACATGCCTTCCTGCAGAGGCAAACCCTGCTGGTCTGCGCTCGCTGCTCAGTGCTGAGGCTGCTTGCAAGCAAGCAAACCCGTTCACAAGAGCAGCTTGTGAACTGCTAAATCAGCTAAATCTCTCCTTGAAGCCAGCATGCCAGCTCCATCCTCATGCATCCCAAAAATGTCTCCTCTGCATAGAGATGGTTGAGGGCAGGCTGGGGAGCTGTTCCATAGCAGCACAGCTGCTATGGGCAAGGTCATGTTGTGGAGGATCCCTTCTCTGTAGGGGGGTCGTCTTCTCTTTAAAAGGGCTTGGTGAAATACTGCTCCAGAAATGAATCGCAGCAAGCCAACGGGGCTTCTGGCTGGGGTTTTGGATGTTCCAGTTGAGTAGGGTGTCTGGGTGGTAGGACAATCCCCTGACCTGCTGGAGAAGTCTGGGATGTGGCAAGGAGATGCTCCCCCATTCTTTGGGGAGAGGGACTGGGTCAGTGGTCCAGGCTGCCTTTCCCCAGCACCTGGCTGGCTGTAGCAGCCTCCCTGCAGTAGGACTCCTGCGGCTGGGCCCTGCAGACCTGCTCCATGTCTGTGTGGACTGACAGTAACCTTCAGTGAGTCCCAGAAGGTGGAGGATCTCTGTCACTGCTTGAAGTGGGTGAATGCCCACCAAAGATGGAGTGTTTGAGTCAAGGGTGAGAGTTGGGATGTGTCAGCACTGTTCTGGGAGGCCCCAAGCCTCTCCTTCAGAGGATCTCTGTTGCAAATCCGTGGGGCAGGTGAGACCTCGGAGCAGCAAGGGTCAGAACCATCTCTGCATTTCCATACAAGGCTTGGGGAGTCAATCTGTTGAAAAAAGCCTTAGGGCATAGCTGTTGCAAGGTGGGAGGAGTGGAAAGCTGCGTGCATGAGCCAGGAGTCATGTCTGGGAGCCTCCGAAAGCCTGCTTGGGCTCCTGAGCCAAGAGTGGTGGGCCGTGTTCCTCCCGGGGTGCGGACTGGCCAGCAAGTATCTCAGCCCACGTTGGGCTGGGGCTGGGAGCTGAAGCGGTCTGGAGCGGGTGTGCGTGTGCCATGGCTTGCTGTCTCTTGCTGGGCACCACATGGGCATGAGTAGAAGAACTGGATTTTTTATTGATGAAGGCAGATTACAGGTTGGTGGCGACCAGATGTTCAAATGCGCAGCAGGCGGCCTCCAAAGCACTTGGAAAAAATCCACCCTGCTTTGCTGGGCTCAATTGTGGTGGTGCCACGGTGTCTGATAAGCTCCAGGGCTGCCTGTGTCCGAGGGAAGCTTTGGTGGGGGCAGAGCCACAGGGAGGAGTGCACTTGTTGGGAGCAGGAGAGGCGTTTCAGGAAGGTTTTCATCTGGATGCATTTGAGATAGTGTGGGAAATTAATCAAAAAAAAACCAAAAAGCCCTGCTCTGAGCTCCTCTGAACCAGCATCTGCTGCAGGCTGGGAACGGAGGGGCAGGGCTGCTAGGAAGCATGGGGCTGTGGGAGGTGGATGTGACAGGGCTCTGTGGAGGGGCCTGTGCTGTTGGTCCCAGGTCACCTTTACAGCCACACCGGGGCGGTGGCACTGGGGGAGTGGGCAGAGCTGATGCTGGAGACCGTGGGAAAGCAGCTTCTCTGACGGCTGCCTGGCTCGAACGAGGCCCCACAGACTGCACGGGTTTGGGAAAAGCTCTGGCGGGCTTGCTGGAACTCGGCTGGGCTGCGCAGGGGGCGGAGGGCTGAGCCCTTGCCACTCCTCTCTGCCTGTGCTGTCCCCCCATCGGTGGGGAACAGTCGGAGATGCTGGGGGGCTGCTGTGGGAACAGTGACGTGCTTGCCACCCCACCGGCCCTCTGCAGACACTGTTCTATCCCTCAGAGAAGTGGGGGTGGGAGAGAGGAGCCCATTTCCCCGGTCTGTTGCCTGCCCTACCTTCTGTTTTGAGTTCACTCGTGTGATTTTTTTGACCTCTTCTCCTGCTGTCCCTGCAGCTCTCTTCCCTCCTGCTTCCTCACTGTGGTGGCTGGGCTATTTCTCCCATGACTCTCTGCGTCTAGACGTGGCTGTCCCGTGCCTTTGCCAATCAAACCCGAACTTCCTCCTCTAACAGGTCTGTATGGAAGAATATTGCCTTTCTCTATCAAAATATGTTGATTGTGGTGTACTCGTTCACTGTTCTCCTTTGGGAGGGGATGTTGGAGGGGTCCAAGCCAATGCCTGTCCCTAGATCTGTGGGCTGAGGACCTCCTGGGGTGGCTGCGGCTTTGAATGCTCTGGTGAGAACCTGGAGGGTGGTGAGTTTTGGCAGCAAAGGGCCTCATGGGGTCCCCTTTCGGGGGATCCTGTCCCACTTCATTCCCTTTCCTGGGTAGGAAGAAGCTATGGAGCTGGGGCTGTCTCCCCATCTCTTGTCACACTGGGGAGGAGGGAGCAGATAAGTGACACGGCCCTCTCCCTCGGCCCTTCCCTGGAGGAAATAATGGGATGTGGGTCACTTCTCATTCTGCAGGAGTGTCCCTGTTCTGTCCCAAGGATATGCCCTCCCCTCCTGCCACTGACTGCAGGCAGCTTTTCCTTGTAGGGGAAGTTTTCCTGCAGCCTCAGGAGGGTCCCTGTGGGAAGAGGGAACCTCCTCAGCACACAGCAGCTCTTCTGAACCTGGCTCAACCCCAACTGTTTGGTGTGATGGGGGAGGACCTTCTGCCCCCAAAGTGCCACTTCTCCAAGCTTAAATGCTGGGGCGAGGAGCACCTGAGTCATGCCTGGGGCTGTGCTGCTCTGAGACCCTCTTGCTAGCTCTCTGGTGGTGGGTGGGAAGGAGTGTTAATGCCATAAGATAATTTTTTTTCTTGTTCTGAGAATCTGTCTTAATGAAATCAGTTTCTTCGCGCTTCTCTCCTCCTTTCCTCCCCCAAATCACGTGCAGTGAAGAGAGGGGCTCCTGCCCTTCTGGGTCACTTTTCTTCCCCTCACCTTGACACCAAGCCGCCTCTGCTTGTGCCTCCCTGTGCCCTCTGCCCCCGCCCTGCCCATCCTGGGCACCCATCACCCATGGACGACTCAGAAGTGGAGTCGACCGCCAGCATCCTTGCCTCTGTCAAGGAGCAGGAGGCACAGTTCGAGAAGCTGACCCGGGCGCTTGAGGAGGAACGGCGCCATGTCTCAGCCCAACTGGAACGAGTCCGGGTCTCCCCACAGGACGCCGGCCCGGGCTTGGCCAACGGCACACTCACCCGGCGGCACCAGGTAAAAAACCCCCTCAGCAGAGGTGGGTGCGGAGGCTCCTGGAGCCCCCGTCCGTGTCAATCCTGCCTCGTGGGGGCAGCCCCGGGCCCGGCTCCTTTCCTTTGGCCCTCCTTGCGTATGTGAGGTGGAGGAGGGCTAGGCTGGTCTTGTAACACTGATAGTGCTGTATGTGTGCTGGGGCTGAAGGTGATTTGGGGATGTGTAAACTTACCTTGGCAGCCAGAGTCTTCTGGGGAGAAGGAGCCAGCCTGGAGGGTCTTGCTACCAGGTCAGCTCTGGTTTGGTTTTGTGAAGGTTGGAGGCTGGCTGTGTTCAGTACCTGGGCATCTTTGCTCCCCATCCCACTCAGCTTCTTGGAAGGTGGCTGAAATGCAGGGGTTGGTGCATAGCTGTGTGTGTGGGGGGTGTCTCCCTCTTGTGTGACGATGGGCAAGTCCCTGGAGTCTTGGTCTATCCTCCAAACAGCCAAACCAGGGCTGGGAGAGATCTCTTTTCTCTACAGGGCTGGAAGTGTGGTTTCATCTGCCTTGGCTTGAGGTCTCCTTCCTGTTCTCACTTTCCTGGGCTCTGTTTTGGGGAGGGGTGCTCGGAGGGCTGGTGTGTGGTGTTGTGCCTTTCCAGCAGGTGGAAAGGCAGGTGCCTTTCTGGCTGTTGAAGGTGGTGGTGCTAGGAGAGACTTGTGGGTCAGGGGGAAGGAAGGGGTGGGCAGAGGAGGAGCGCAAGAGTCAAATGGTAGCACTCTGCAATCAGCCACCAAGCATCCACGCTGCTCCCTCACAATCCTGGGGGGGGCTCTGGGATGTCACTTACGGCTCCTGCGTCAGAAGATGTGGAAGGTCTCCAGGGCCATGCTGGGGCCCAGGGAAGGGTCTTGACCATTCCATCAGGAGTGCGTGGGCACCGTGGGAGAGCTGGGATGTCTGGAGGGGGGCT